CTCCTCCCACCAGCCAGCCAGAGCCCCGCCCACCAGCCAGTCAGAGCCCCTCCCACCAGCCAGCCAGCGCTCCTCGCACCAGTCAGCCAGAGCCCCGCCCACCAGCCCTCAAAGTGCACACAGCACCCCTTATCCAAGAAATGTTTGTGGTGCACCATGGATCTGATCTCATCCTTTCAGCCTCACTTACTTCTCTGCCCCTTGACTTGTCCAACACGGGAGGCCGAAACCACATTTTTCTGGACAAGGGCTTTTCTTGACAGAGAACCCCCTCCACCGACCCCATGCTTCAGGTAAACTCAAGCCGTTGGGGCGTCTAGCTTGAGGGCTGTGCCCTGCCGAGACCAGGCCCCCATATTGCACTCAGCCGTGGCTGCCTGCTTACGGGGCGCCCACCTCCCGGGGCCACTGGGACAGGGGTCGGGCATACCTGCCTCCAGCCCCACACCTGCAGCACAGGCCGACAGGACCGGAGGCCAGACAGGAATAACATGAACACATTCACCTCAGTGTGCAGCTATGCCGCTGTTCACAGACATCAGGCTCTGCCTGGAGGCTGAGTTTCCTGGGTAAAGAGAGGAGTTTTTGGTAGCATCTATGTATCTAAAATGTGACAAGTGACTGCAGTGGTGCTGAGCACATTCCTGGAGTTCTGGTATTTTCTCAAGAGAGAGGCAGGCCTTGCACCGCTATTTTTACCAAGCACACCAGGCACTCACAGGCCCCGAGGAAGGCTGGAGGCTTAACTGCAGACATGTGGACAGACAGAAATAGCCGCGCTACGCCATGTAATTAGCCTCTGAAGCAAAGATTTTTTTCGGCTCCCTTTTTGTCATGTCTTTTGCATGTCAACCAGGGCATGGGACAGACACACTGTCGAGTCAAATACTGCAACAGAAGTGCGCAGCCATGGGCAGTCAGAAGTCGAGTGCAGAGGCTAAGAGCCTTCCCTAACAACCAGGGAGGAGCCAGAGGCCTGCCGGCAGCCAACCGAGATGGTGACAATCAAGGTCGGAAAAACGGTGCTGGCATGGGTGACGGAGAGGTGGCCACGATTCAGAAAGGACCTGGGCAGCTGGCCCTGATCTCGTCACTGACATCTGTAGTACAAAATGACTGTGCTTGCTCAAGCTTATAGACATGGCGTTTCTTGCTCTCATACAAAGAGGGGCTGAGTTGGAAGCTGGTGTTGGTCCCCGAAACAGCAAGAGTTTGGGATGCGAAGTGCTGGAAGCTTCTTTTTCTTACTTTCAAGTCGTATAGCTCATCGTGGATGAGAGAAACCGATGGAAGACAGGAGTCGGTAGCAAGCACCTTGCCAGGCTGTCACCTAACCTCCTGGATAGAACCCACACCGTCTGCCGTTGCAAAGGTCCTGTTTCATCTTTGGTGACAGGAAGCAAAGGCACCATTGCTGCAGATTAAATAATTTATCATCTTCCTCCCCCAGCCCCGGGCCCTCGGGAGATGCACACTGGGGGTTGTGAGCCATTCAGAAGTGTCACACCTGTGGCGACAGCTCCCTGCAACAGGATCAGGAGCACCTTCGGACTCCCATCCTCTCGAGAAGTCTGGGTTCCTGTAATTTTCCACTGTTATTGTTCTGTTCGTCTGTATTTTAGAAAGTGGTTTGGGTTAAATTAGATCACTTGTCTTCCCGGTAGTTTTCCAGCCATGTTTTGTTTTCTCAAGGATCTATACCCCTGTAAATGAGACACCCGCCTCTGTTTAGCTGGAACGGCCGCCAGGCACTGACACCCACACACGAGGCTGTGGTTTGCAGGGACAGCCGTCAAAGGAAGCCCGGGTTCTGGGCTGTCTAAGCCACTGCCGTGGGCAGGTCTGCCCATACTGGGCGCTTCCTGAAACCCGGACACGACACTTGCCCACACTTGGACAGGAGGTTCTGTAAACAAGAGGCACACCGCGGAACAGTTAGGAGTTTGGCTAACAGTCTTCTGGCCATTTCTTCCATATGGTAGGTGAAGTAAAAAGCTTAATCCGAAACACGAAAACGCGTTAGTTGATGAAAGGTTTGTATTTTGATTGGGCCCTCTTCTTTCATTTAATCACAAGCCTCCTTGTCAGGTGCAATGTAACTTTAATTCAGGATGGCAGAAAGCTTGGCGAAGGAGGACTATGATGTGGAAACCAAGTGTGCTTGTGCTCACATTTTCATGATTAGTAAAATTCCTTACTTAAAAAACCCTGTGAGGGGCCCTCCCTGGTGGCACATGGGGTTAAGCACAGCACTTTGAAGCTGTCTGCAGCACTACAGCACGAGTCTGCTCCCCAGCCAAGGAGTGACCCACATGGTGCAGCAGACCTCCCCTGTCTTGCCCAGCAGTGTGTCTCAGGAGATCCGCCTGTTCTGCTCCGCACTGTCTCTGGTGAGTCCACTCACACTCTCCACCTCTGGCCTGCACCTCAGCTCTTGTATGCATAAGTAAATAAATCTTAAAATAAAACCCTGAAAGGTACCACTTCCCAAATGAGGGCATTTCTTGGCCAACAGCTCGAGGTGATGCTCATTCCAGTTCAGAAGGGAGTTTAAGATGCTTCTGTATCACACGACACAGCGCACCAGCTCTAGCCATGAGAGCCTGCTGTAAGGTCCACTCTGGGACCCAGAGCCCTCCACCGCGCCCCCTGCCCTCTGCCGCCGGCTTCCACACCCCTGGCCAGCTGAGAAATGGGCTTTTTCTTGATGGTGCTCCAGCTCCTGAAACCTGACTGCGGGTCTCTAAGCAGCTCATAGGCTTGTTCTGTTTCCGACCCAGCTGCTCCCTCGGGCATTATCTATGCCCCTGTACGAGGAGGAGGAAAGATGACAGCCGGCCGGTGCACTGGGACCTAGGAGCCCCACGCGCAAGGTGAGACGAGAACAACTTTGAGACTGGCATTCAGAGCTTGTTCTGACCAACGCTGGTTTTAGATTTTCCTCCTCTGAAACTCTCAGCAAGCTGGAGAAAGCTTTTCCCCAGATGACTGGTGAGGAGGCCATGCAGAGAGGCCAAGCCACTTATGTGTGTGGAGAGGAGAATGGGGGGGGGAGTGAGGAGGGGTGTACAGAGCATGAAGAACCCTCCAGACAGCCTGACCTCGGGGCTCACGAGCACCCCCTCCACCAGTGACATCACAGAGGATGCCATGGGCCAACTTTCAACAGAGGATGAGCTGATGGATCAAAGAGAATTTGGGGATTTCAAAGACCTGGAGTCACAATTCTGTTTCTATGGAGTGAGGTGAGTGAGGTGTGGCGTCGCCGCCACAGGGCACGGGGAGGGTGCGTGGGGCGAGAACAGCAGCACAGATGAGCCAGGCCTGGAGCGTGAGGTCAAGTGCGTGGGTCACTTCTGCTCCATGGGAGGCACCGGCCAGGCAGCACGGCCGGGTGGTGACCACGCAGCTCTGAGTAGGCCTCCTAAAGGTGCCTGGTGTCCCTGGGCTTCTTTCCTGGGCAGAAG